CAATAACATAATTTTGTTAAGGCAGAGTTGCTAAAATCCCGCATCCCGCGACGTGCCGTGCCGTCATTGCTACTCCACCTTAGGCTGTTTCTTGTTGCTCTCAGATTCAGAACATATATTATTAATGAAATTTAAAATGAAATAATAAAATATCTACATCATTGAACTTTCCACGAACATGCCTAATTTAATTGAGGCAAGATATGCAGTTAGCTACCTCCACAAACCCCTTTTTAAAAAAATGCTAATTTCGCTTTAGCATCATAAGAAAAAAGAGATGAAGATCGAAATTAATTATTAATTAATCAACTTTCAACAAATGCTATATAATTAATCATACAAATAATTTCAATAAATACTAAATTAACTTTTTCCCTTTTCGAGGGAAGAATAAGTAATTGCAACAAAACCAAGTTTCAAGCTCGAATTTTTTACAAGATGAAGATAAAATTTGAGAAATAAGAGAATTAACTCTCTATAACATGCTCATCGAATGTTAAAAAAATAAAAATAAAAAAATACAAAATCATGCAAGGAAAATAATAAAATAAAATAAAGACCTGATCTTATCAATGGTGTAATGGGTTTGGACCGGTGGGGACGAGTCGCTTCTCGACCCCATAACGAGGGTCAATCTGGTTACCATCCACTGGTTCAGCTTGAGCGGTAGCACGTCTATGGTCGTGGTGCTGCTGCTCATCCTTGTGGTGGAGAAATGGTGTGAAGTCAACTTTGGCGATGGCTAACACCTTTCTACCATGGTAGGGCATATTGGGGCTGCTGCGTTTATTTTTAGAAACGAAATCGCACCGCCCGAAGAATAGAGGCAGGGCAGAGAGCCAAAGAATGAGAGTAAGGAGTTGCAGAGTTCTCATTGTTGGGAGAGAAAAGAGAATTGCGGGGAGTCAGACCATTGCAGGGTAGATAAAAAAGCCCAAGAAAATTGACAGCTAACGCTAGAAGAAGAGCACCACAAGAAATGGTCATGGAGGGGGCAAAATTATAAAAATAAAAGTAGAAACGGTCCTTGCTTACATTGTTTTTGACTCTGTGGGAATGGAGAATATGAGGTTCCGTTTCAAGGGAATTCAAATTAATTGGTGAATGTGGGAAAGCAGGGGAAGCTGAAATGTGGAGTCCTGTTTCTTGTTCCAATGAAATGAAACTTTCCTTTGCGTTCAAGGAACAGAGGGGAGGGCCATTGGAAGCACAGATTGTCAAAGTTGAAATTATATATTCGGATGACCTCAATACATCAAAGTCTGAGCACTCAAGGCTTACGGCACTACGAATCTTGAATGTTCTAACACGGTTTTCACACAAAAGAAAACCTAAACTACATTGTCGAAATAGTGCCCGTGAGAATTTAAAAAAATGTAATAAATAAAGTTACCAGAAAAAGTTGTTCACATGATTAAAGTGATTAAAACTTTATAAAATTAAAATTGTTAATAAGTAGTTTGAATCTTTTATAAAATTGATTCAATTTATAACTATGACAATTAAGCAATGACATATTAGTGTGATTGTTTTTAGACTTTATTTGTCAATATTTTGTTATAATTATAGGTTTTTTCTTGTCATTTATTATTTTAAAATTTTAATTAAAATTAATTAAAAATTAAAAATTTATAATTTTAAATAAAGTGATGATTAAAAAAATATTTTTGAGAAATATTGTCAAATGAAACCTTAGTTTTTTTAATGTTATACCAGCCTGACGTAATTAGCTTAGAAAACACTGATGAATTTCCTTACAAAAATGCTGATGAATGGTCGGTCTTGTACTAGCCAGTAGCGAGCAAATGCCGGTGGAGTTGACCTTTTGTTCATGAAATTACTTTTCCACTAATCTTACCTATTGGATTTAGAGATCTGTTAAAGTCGGCTTCCCATTGGATTTAGAGATAAATAAGTATTTTTTTATTTAATAATAATAATATTTTTTTAATATTTTAAGTAAAAATTTAAAGATTATTTATGTATTTTTTTATATTACTTTTAAGAAAAAAATTAAAAGATCAAATAAATTTTTTGATAGAATAATTAATTAAAATAATTAATTAATTATAAAGTTAAAATAGAGATATAATACTTATCTATTTTAAAAAATAAAAAAATAAAAATTAATTTAAAATAAACTCAAAATAAAAAATAATTATTTTAAAATAAATAAAGCATTATTTTATAAGTCAAGTGTAATGTTTAAGCTTTGGCATTTGGGATTAAATGATGAGCACATAGTAAAATTCAATTTCTTGAAAAACACTATATCAATATACAATGCGTTTTTTTGCCCTCGATGCTTGAGTCCAGTGACGTCATGCCACGTATAAATGCATTCTTTCACCCTCAGGACAATAATTTAAATTCGACTTCTTGTGAATTTGTTTAAAAATATATATATACAATGCGGTTTTTAAATTAGATGGGTGTATCACAGACTTAAAATAAAATAGCCTGATTATCAAGATAATAATAAAAGAAAAAACAAAAATATTATAATTGGTTAATTATAATATCATATAATATTATATATTTATAATATAATTTATTATTATATAATTTATTCTTTTATTTAAAAATTTACTTATGATATTATATATATATTTATTTAATATTATATTTAATATCATATCGTAATTATAAATTTATAATTATACATGATATTACAATTATAATATTATCAAAAAAAGAAAATTTCACGCCTAAAAAATTGTTCTTACATACCAATTTTCGTGGGAGGAGGCACTTCCTTGACTTGCACTCTTCGTTATAATTCATTTCTCCTATTCTTTATTTTTCTTGAGTTATTTCCTTAAACCTTCTGAATATTTAAAAGAAAATTAACTTTTTTATTCTTCACCAAGAGTTCTTTATTTCTCCTATGCTCTGGTCAGGGACGGAACCAAGAAATTTGGGTAGGGGGGGCAAATTTTGTTGTTAAAATTTTAAGTTTTTAATAGTATCTTTTATGACACTAATTTTTTTTTTTTAATTTTAAATCTTTCCTTTTATAAAAAGATTTATTTGTGGTTTTTTTCATTGATGTATTTTTAACAAAAATTAGAAATAAATGAGTTTTTTAATTATAATAAAAACCAAAATATCATAGTAATAAACTATGCATAATCAATTAAAGAATGAATAAAAAAAGAAATGTATTTGTTAGTTGAATCTTTAAAAATTATGAGGGAAAATACTATAAAATTAAATCATTTTAATAAACTTGAATTGGAAAAGACAAAAACAACATATTTTTTAAGTTAGAATGAGAGTGTTTTGATTTTATTAAAATAATGTAGTTTTGAAACATTTTCCTCTTAATTTCTTACAGATTATATTGATAAACACTAATATTGTAAAAAATACTAAAATATTTCTTTTAGAAAATTAACTCTAATATAATTTAGATTGATTTAATAAAAATAAAAGATTATAAATTCAATTATAAAAGGTAAAAATATACCTCCATACTAAAAAGAAACCACTTTAAACTTTTACATAAAATATTAAGAAAAAAAATAAAAGAATACTAAAGAAAACTATAAATTTAAAGTTATTTAAATAGATAATCAAAGCTTTTCTTTGGGCTTAATAGATGAAAAAATGTTTAAGAACCCTAATTCTTAATTAATTAATTGACATAAATTCATTTTACTTGAATTATATCCTTAATTTTTGAAAACCTTGTACTTAGATCCTAAATATTTTCTCTACATTTGAAATAGTTCTTGAAATTCATACTATTAAAGAAAAATTTTTAATAAATAAAAGTTAAAGTATCATATTAAATGTTTTTCAAAATCTTAGGGGGGTGGCTGCCCCACCCTTGTCCTTCATTGGCTCCGTCCCTGGCTCTGGTATTCTCTTTGTAAAACAATCTTTTTTCTTTTCAAATAAGCGACTATTCTTCCACCAATTTTCTGTGAGCGCTCTGTGTATTAGGTACCGACATATGAGAAGTAGTTGGTTACTTTTTAAATATAAATTATAAAAAAAATGTTTTTTTTTTATAAACTAAAGTGAAAATTAAATTAAATAGAATGTAAGGGGTACTTTTACCCATATTGTTCAGAATTAGTTACATTACATCAAAAGAAAAATCAAACCGCAACAATATGTTTTAATTAAAGTTTCTATTATGAGTACCATACACGAGAACTTAGTTTTTGTTATGAATATCGTATACTAGGACTTAGTACTCATAACCATCTTGCATGTATGGATTGGGTCTGAAAAGCCATAAATCCTTTGATATATTTGGCCAAAGACTAGCTTTAACCACGTCAATGATCATACCTTGATTAACTTAAAGATATTGCTAAATGTGTCGGTGTTTCTCATAAATACCTTTTGATTTCTCTATGTCCATAGCGACCAAATGGTTGCAAACCAAACCACAAGCCACACTTGCTTTGAGTTTCCTTAAAAAAATAATCCTACGTGTTGTTGCAAGTGTTTTCGGCCTTCATGGTGTTGAGGAACAACAATACCCCACCAATTATAGCATAAGAACCAAATAAGCCATGCTGTTTTGCAAGTGAATAGAAGATGGTCTGTGTCTTCAACATACTGTCCGCATAAAGTACATGTCAAATTCCTCTCAACGGTTTTTTATTCTCCTTTTCCACAAATTGTGCTTTATTGGAATTTTGTTTTGTGTGGCTTTCCAAACAATTGCAGAGACCATTAAGGGTACATCTTTATTCCAAATCAGTTTAAAATTATCAATTATACTTGGGTTGGAGTTGATTTGAAGTAGTTTGTAAGCTGATTTCATCGTGTATTTGCCATTGGGATTGCTGTCGAACCCAATAGTCCTCTTGTCCCTGCATTAGCTACTTCCCTTGTATGGCATCCATGAGTTCCTGCAAAAGTTCAGATTCCCAAGCCAAAAGATTCCTTTTCCATCTCCATCTTCAGATCCATTCTCCATTTTTCCATTCCCCATGTTAGAGATTAATGCATCTTTGTCCCTTGATATCCTAAACAATCAATTAAATCTAATTTTTAGAGGAATAGGCCCCATTCACTTGTCATGCCAAAACATCATTTTCAAACCCTCCCCAACCACTTTCTCAACATTCTCTCTAAACCATCCCAATCTAATTGCCACAACTCCTTCCACCAACTAGAGCAATGCACACCCCAAATTATAAAAAAATGTTGTTTCTTAGTCCGAATAAAAAAGAAAGTTCTTTTTTAGTTTGAATTGAAATTGATGAAAATTCATTTTATCAATATACCCAAACTCATGAATATTAAATGTATTATTTTTCATTTTCAATTTAAATTAACACTTTGGCCAAAAAAAAAATCTAAATTAACCTTTTTTTTACCGCAAAATATAATAATAAACTAAAAAGGCCAGACTTGGCAACTTTTCTCTTTTTGGGCCAGATATCCTGATTGGCCCAACATCCGCAACCTCTTTAAACTATCATCAAAAGTCCAAACCCACTCGGTTCATTAATTAACTTTTTATCATAAACCAACGAACGCACAGAGTGCAAGTCCAATTCCATTGGTCCAAAATCCAAACAAAGTAACAAACCCATAAAAAATTCAAAAGATAAAAAGTTAAATGTGGTCAACATTGGGCTTTAATTTCTAGCCCAAATAGCAGCCCAATCAAGTCTGGAAACACCCTTTCGAAATTACCGCAAAATAGTGAAAAAATTTTCTCTGGGTCCCACAGACAAAGTCAAAAACCCAGAGTTCCCAATTACCGTCTGATTCTCTCCCAATAACTTATACGGTTCTGATGGAAGCAACAGAAAAGGCTAGGGCACATGATGAACCAGATTAACCCGGGAGAGCTCGTGAACCGATATAAGTAAAGCCAATAGAACCTGTCTCGTCTGGAAAGAAAACAGGGAAAGGTAAGAGGTACAACACTATCACAGTGCCAATGGCCAAGCCTCGTAAGACGAAATCCGATGACCCTAAACCGGCCAATTCCGGCGCCGTCGTTCGCCACCAGAAGCTCTGCCTCTCCATCGACATGGACTTGCGCCGTATCTACGGGTTCTTTTCTGACTTTCTTCTCTTCTTTACATTTTTCGTCTTGAAGTACATGCATGGCTTAGGGCTTATTAAATCTGGAAATTTAATGATGCTTGTATGCTTCAGTTACACGGAGCTGGAAATCGTGGTTCCTGATATCGGAATTGTTGGATTACACGCGGAGAATTTGGGGATCGAGAGCGTGCTGGTGGATGGAGAGCCTACGGAGTTCGAGTATTATCCGCAGAATCAAAATGTGGAAACTGAAAAGCAGTGGAACGAGGTTTCATCGCCGAGTTCAGCAGCTGATGCGGTTGGTGCTGCTTATGTGGCTGCCCTCGAGAGGGAGCTGGTGCCGAATCTGCTTGTCAATTGTTGCAACAAGATGCAAATAGAGACAATAAATGTAGAGAACGAAGTTCAACCTTCTAGTGAAGTGAAGCAGGTCACAGTTGCTGCTCTTTAGTGCATGCTCTTTTTTTTTTTTTCTTTTTTTTCTTTTTAATTTCAGTAAAATGTAGTTCAGTAGTCACGTTGCATGTGAATTATGAGGGATTTGGAGTAGGTTTTATTGCACATTATATGTTTCAAATCTACATCCATGTGATTGGGGTTTTTTTGCTTCTACCTTTCCAGTTTTCATTTCTCAATGCGGAGAACAAAAAGCCTCTTTATAAACAATTGTAGCGTCAGTTTTCCTTGGGATAGAGAGTGAAAAACAATTTTTACAGTTTTTATTTTGTTGGGTTGCTATATTCTGCAGCTGGTTGTGGTTTCTTATGTTGCTTTGTGTTGATTGCAGAATGTGAAATTGGTTCGAGTTAACTTTTGGGTAGAGAAAGCGGAGACAGGGATTCATTTTGAGAATAACGTGGTGCATACTGATAACCAGATAAGACGTGCTCGATGTTGGTTCCCTTGTATTAATGATGATAATCAGTGTTGCTGGTATGGACGATAAAATTTTACTACATGTTTTTAAGGTATGGTTATCTTCTTCATGGGGATTTTATTGTTTCTTGGCCTTGTATTTTCAGTTATGATCTGGAGTTCACAGTTGCCCACAATCTTGTGGCCGTCAGCAATGGAAACTTACTGTACCAGGTGAGATAAAATCCGATGAAAATTTTCAGTAAGTAAATCTTGATTTCGGCTTGGATTATACTTTTAGGTAATGCATATTGCTGATGATGGAACTTAATCTACTACAGATGTAGTGTAGTACATGTGGCACTATACTGAACAACTTAGAAATGGGGCTTACAGATTCATTCTGCCTTCTTATGGACATATTTGAAATTCTGAATTTAGTTGGGAATGCATTTACACAGTTGCTTCGGTTTTTTTGTTTAAGATATTAAATGTAAATCACCCAATAAGTTATGTATAATGGTTCTTCTGTTTCATCAGATTCTGTACCATGTGTTTATTTAATAAGTTGTTAGATATTAGAGAAAAAAAGAAGGAATAGAAAACATTCCTGGGTGATAGATATTGCTTTTAGTTGAGCTGGTGGTTGTTGCCCTTATGTAAACTCCGATTGAGATAGCTTGCCAAGCAAAAGGAATCCAGAATGTATAAGTAAAAGAGAACCATATTTATTTAGCTTAGGAATCAGCCTAGACTCATTTATTAACCTGAGCTGGTTTGTGGGATAAACATCAGAAGTCCTGTTTGATATTGGAGCATTGATCATAAATGCTTGTGTCTCAACATGCTACTACATGTGGTTGAACATACTTTATAATGTGCAGACTCTTCTTCAATTGTCTATACTTCTTGCAAACAGGTACTACCTTAGATTAATAACTTTTGAGCTCCTTGATGGAAGTAGAATAGGAAGAAGCCTACAGCTATACTTAGATGTTTCTACCCATTGCAGTGGAGGGCTTAAACTCTGTTCCCCGTTCCCTTATTCTCAACCATTCCTTGGTATAAGGATCAAGTTTGATTCTAGGTTGGTGTATAATTTGCGGGGATAGCTCAATTGGGAGAGCGTCAGACTGAAGATCTGAAGGTCGCGTGTTCAATTCATGCTCACCGCACGCATCCTTGGGATCGAGGCTTGCAGTTATTTTTGAGTTTTTATGTGAGATGTTGATCAAATTGCTCTTGATGAAGGTAGAATTCCCCTTATGTTAGATAGAGAACAGCTGAGCAGGAATTCTTTTTTCCTAGTCACTCTTTGCTACAAGATAATTAAGTTTGTGAACCCTATCTGAGCTGCTAACCAGATTGGAGTTGGACACCTTCTTGCTCTGCAGTTAGTTTAGGTTTTTTTCAGCATTCTAATCTTCACTAAATGAAATGCGTTCAATGGAAAAATTGTGGCTGTAAAATTGTTCCTTTGGAAAAATGTTTCAGTCACCATATTACAGAACAGTTTATAGTTATCAAATAGTGAAGATGCAGATTGCAGTATGCTTCTAGCTTGATATTGCCTCGGAACTTGGGAAATTACTTATATCTATTCGTTGAGGTTATTTGGGGGAAGCATGGATCTAATTTTCATTGTATTCCTGTGACAATATCTAACTCCATCAGCTGTAAATTAGAGCTTGATCATGAATCTGGTAAAAAATTTTTGAAATTGGTCAACTAAGCATTGTATCTGATTTACTATTAGACTTTTGTTTAGTATTAAAATATGGAGCTATAAAACCTGTATTTATTCCATTCCAGACACATGGATGGAATCTTTATTAGTAAGTGAAAGAAAAACTTTTTTCTTTTTTTCTTTTTTACATTTTACTACTGAAAACTGATAAAATTTTAGAGGAAGGAGTGAGGATAATGGTAGTGAAGATGTATTTTTTTTTTCAGTTGTGGAAACTATGACATAAATATGCAGAGGACTGCATTAGATCTTTCTATAGTGTATGCTACAATGCGCTCTTTTTTTGTTAGTTCTGCTGCAAATATTAGGAATAATTTGCATGCTATGCAAAACTTCTCATCCCTCAAATTATAGCTTGTCTTCTTATCCATTACTTAGTTATGGTTTCATCATGAACTTAATGGTGAACATAGTATTCCCTCCTCTGCTTGTGGTAATGATGGTTTGTTACCTTATGTTCAAGCCTCTAACTGTGTTTCTTTTTGCAGGTTCTCAGCAAGGATGATCCTCCACGTAAAACATATGTCTACAGATTAGATGTTCCTGTTACTGCTCAATGGATATCTTTGGTAGTTGGGCCATTTGAAATTCTTCCTGATCAGCATAATGGTCTAATATCACACATGTGTTTACCACCTAATTTGTTAGAACTACGTAACACTGTGGAGTTTTTCCATAGTGCTTTCAGGTTGCAATCGTTGTTTAAATGACTTCTGTCATCTGAAATCTCCTGTAATTTTATGAGATTGATTTCTTACCTTTGACATTGTTTCTGGTTCTAAATTTTTCTCCACAGGGAGTACGAGCAGTATCTTGACGCAAAGTTTCCATTTGGATCATACAAGCAAGTTTTTTTGGCTCCTGAGATGGCAATATCCTCATCAACTTTGGGAGCCTCCATGAGCATCTTCAGTTCTCAAGTTTTGTTTGATGAGAAGGTTATTGATCAGGTTTGTTCATTGTTTCACAAGTATTGTTGATTAGTTAATTTGTATTCAGATTCTGGTTTAAATTTTATATGGGAAAGTTGTTTAAGATGTTAAGTTGCAGTTAAACTGATATAAGTAGGCCAATACAATGGGAATCTAAATCTAGGTATGCTAAATACTGTTTCTCTATTTGTAACATGATCTCTATTTGGAACTTGATGTTTACGTGCATAATTTCTCGCTCAGTTGCAGTTAAATCAATTTTGTAGTTAATTTTTATCATTTCTGGCTGTGGTCCTTGAAATGAATTTATCAGGGTGTTTTTAGTTCTCTCTCTCTCTCTGCCTGTCACCATGCTAATCTAGTTTTTCTTTGTTTTACCCAAAAGTCATTTTTTAGACTCTTCTGGAGATAACAATGTTGCATGATGAATGTGACCTGTATGCTTGATTCCTGGCATACTTGCATTATACTTCAAACCTGGAAAAATGAAATGGAATAACTAGAATTCGTGTCAAAACAAAAGGAATCCAAAAAAGTGTTTATTTAGTTGCAACTTTCAATTTTGAAGTCTGACAGAATATAGGCAGCCTTTGTTTATTTGGATGTCTTGTGATCTGAGGCCGAAGGTGATGCAATGCTACCAATTAACATAAAAATCTAAAGGTTTCTTTTAAAAGTAGACCCCCTCCCTCTTTTTTAGGAATTAAGATTTAAGAGCTGATATTTAGTTGATATATCTACTCTGTGTTTTTATCCGTTGTTTCTTCAATTATTGGATTTGAAATGTTTGTGTTTGAATTTTTTCCTCATTTCATATATATCACTCTAATTCCAATATACCTGGATGGCACACTGTCTTTATAGCATCTTATACGAAATTTTTAATATCCAGACAAACAGACAGACATGCCGTGTGTGATTGTATTTCTCAAATTTAATGCATATGCTCCAAATACATTTTTCACTGCATATGTCCTAGCCATCCTCTCTTTTCTATATATTGTTTATCTTGGAACTTTTACAATGGGGGAAAATGGATTCACCAGCCATTGAGCATTTGCTTCATGGATTATTAGATATGATTTTGTTGTTTTTTCTGGAGGTGGAACATCATCCAATACCATTGACCAAGCAGAAGAATTGACTTGGAAGGCTTCTAAGTTTTAGATTGATGGCTACAATTATGTTTGAGAACCCTAAGAGTATATTGATTTGAAAATGATGTAAATTAAAGGTATAATTTGACATTTTAAGGGAAAATATAAAAGAAAAATGCATAGTTTTCATGTGCTTGTAGTGTTAACAATACATAAACTTGCCAACACATAGAGGTGGATGATAGATATTTTCATAATTAGCAATTCTGTTTCGTTATAATACCACATCTTCTTTGTTTGCAAATGTTTTTGTTTTGTTTTCTCTATGGGTACAGATTTTTGCATGAACTGTAATATAAATTGAATTTTCATTTTTATCATTGAGTATTAGTAGCACTTCTCATGCTTTTCCTTTCATTTCGTGCTCTTCTAATGATTTAGTTTTTGACTTAACAGACAATAGATACGACCATCAAACTAGCTTTTGCACTTGCTAGACAGTGGTTTGGAGTATATATTACTCCTGAGACACCAAATGATGGTAGGCTCGTAGAAACTATTGGTGTTAATGCTTGTTGTATCTCAATCAATTAAAACCAATTTACTCTGTTAAATTTTTGGTGAAATTGTATCTACGGACACTCATATGGCTGCATTGTTTTTCTTGTGAAGAGTGGCTGCTGGATGGTCTTGCTGGCTTTTTGACAGATTGGTTTATCAAGAAATTTTTGGGAAACAATGAGGCACGATACAGAAGATATAAGGTTTGTCCAGGTCCCTCTTATTACGACCTTACTTTGCAGTGTTTGTAATTCAAGGGCTTTCATGTTCTGAGAATATAGTTGAAAAGTACAGTTTCAAATGGTGCTGGTATGTTTCATCCTAAAAGATAGGAGGCTTATACTTGATGTTGAGGGGTTTTGAGATTTTAGTGTTACATGACTCATGTTCTGAGATATAATACTAGTCACAGCAACAGATATGATTCTTGCTGTAGTGTCTCAGGAGCTAAAAGCGCCAACACTTGGTAGTGTTAGTTCTTCATATAAATGCAAACTTATACTACTTTGATATGGAAATGCAGGCAAACTCTGCTGTTTGCAAAGCAGACGATAGTGGGGCAACAGCTTTGAGCTTCTCTGCCTCTTGCAAGGATTTATATGGCACCCATTCAATTGGGATATTTGGAAAAATACGATCATGGAAATCTGTATGTTCCTCTCTCAATGCCTATATACTTTTATTGTGGAAGATCTTACCATGTACTCGGCATATTTTGATATTTTGAAATAACTGTCTAATATGACAAGAAAGATTTTTTGAACATATATATGATAATGGTTTTGTCATTCAAGTGGAATTGTTGGAGAAAATTGAGGGAGTGCTACATTGTCTCCCTGTATAATTTCTAAAATATTTCTTTTTTATTAATGGATGCATTCTTGTAAAGGTGGCAATCCTCCAGATGTTGGAAAAGCAAATGGGACCTGACTTCTTTAAGAAGGTAAGGACTCCTGTCAGGTTGCTTTTTGTGTTTATCATTGTTTGATGAATGAGACACTAAGAATATGATCTTTGATGGCTTTGTTTGTTTGGTTTATTTCAGTTTGTTCCTTATAGGTTTTAGTTTTCCTGGTAGGCTCTGAACGTACCTTAAAATAGATTTCTTTCAATTTCTTAGATTGTTATTGCTATAGGTAACTTGGTCTTTTCTTGTTATTTCAAACTAAAAGCATATTCAAGACTATTTTAAATTAAAACTATGGGATACTTGAGGGTATATGTTACATCTTGACGTCAATTGTCATGACAGCCTTCCTTAGGAATAGCCAGTTATGAGCTATGGCATTACTCAAAACTCTTTCAAGAAGACATTGAGATATATGTAGATAAGTTGGAAAGATCTGATTTGTTAAATGAGGTTTTGTCTATGGGTGTTTAATATGCTTATTCAGGTGTCAGAAAATGGTTTTAGCCTTTGAAAACATAGAATTGTGCAATAGAAGTTAATCTGGTGAAAATTATAGGTAGCTAGGAGTTTAAGTTCTGTACATAGAGTCCAATCAGTTTTAAAGAAGCTAGCATAACTTGATTTATAAGCTGAGAAACCTAGGAAAAATTAGTTTCATAAAACTGATAACTCGGTAAACCTCAGAAAACTTAGTTTACATAAAACTGATAACTTTCTATCTTTTTGGTATGCAGATTTTGCAGGCTATTATTTCTCGGGCTCAAAGTAGTTCTATAAGGTCTATCAGTACAAAGGAGGTAGTTATTTGTGCCGCATATGACTGTCATATGTTGCCTTCCACGCCCGTTCCACTGTTTTTTCTTGTGTTCAGTTTTTTGGGTTCCAACTATATTTATGATGGCATTTACTCAGCTGAAGATCCATTATTGTGACAGAAAGTTTGACATGTATGAATATCTGAGTAGCTCTTTATTCACTATCCTTTATGAATTATGAGTTACAATGGTGCCTCAGATGTATGGTTTTATATGTGGTTTCTAGACCAGCTAGCTTACTTGTGCCATGTACAGGAGTTTTGTAGCTTCCCCTTTCTTTATTAGTGAAAAATGTATAGTTTTGTTAAGCTACCTAATTGAAGAAGTTAAGACAACAAAAAGAGAAAAAATAAAAATAAAAAAGAGAAATGAAAAAGAACATAAGGAAGCATGTCTTTGTCAAATTATAATAATGGGTATCTGTAATTTGAAAGATGGATGTATCATGCTAAACTTTGTTGGAGGATATTAACTTAAAGTAGATTTTAATTGAATACTTTGTGAAGGTGGTCTAGTAACTAAGTTGTCAGGCCCTAGTTTTCTCAGAAATTTATTCATTAGATATCTTAATCTGCAATGCTTTGCTGATTTGTTAGTTTATGTGTCGCTACAAGTTGCTTTCATGCAATTTGTATTTGAAGCACCAATAATGGTGGCTGATTTTTCCTAACTCCTTTCTGTTTAATGTGGGTCTGTTATTCTCAATTTGATATTTGGAGGCTGGTTACTTCCCTGGGTATATGTTTAATTAAACTAAAACTGTGATGCAGTTCCGGCATTTTGCTAACAAAATTGGAAACCTGGAGCGTCCCTTTCTCAAAGAATTTTTTCCTCGGTGGGTTGGATCTCATGGGTGTCCAGTACTGAGGTATGCTTTGTAATGCTTATGTGTCTAGATTCTTTGTGTGATTTCACATCCTTTAACATTGACTGTTCCGTTGCCTTGAATTTTAAGGATGGGGTTTTCCTATAACAAGAGGAAAAATATTGTGGAGTTGGCAGTGTTACGAGAATGCACAGCTAAACTTGATTCAAACACATCACTTCTGAATGCTAACCCTGATTCTGAAAACCGAGATGGTGATATTGGGTGGCCTGGGGTTATGACTATAAGGGTTTATGAACTTGATGGTATGTCAGACCATCCTGATCTTCCACTTGCTGGAGAAAGGTGGCAGCTTCTTGAAATACCATGCCATTCAAAGCTTGCTGCTAGACGCTATCAGAAGCCTAAAAAGGGTTCAAGACCTGATGGCTCAGATGATAATGGTGATATGCCTACTCTAGATGTGCGCTCTAGGTATGCTGTTATCTTTGAGTGGGTTTTCATGACTAGTCTTGTTGCAGAAGATCTGCTTGTTAGTTTCTTTTTTGTTATATTTGTTCTTTGCAGTATGGAGTCTCCATTGTCATGGATTAGGGCAGACCCTGAAATGGAATATCTTGCTGAAATTCATTTCAATCAACCTGTACAGATGTGGGTAAGAAATAGAATAATTCTGCTCTTTTTTTTTTGGTTAATTTTGAAGCATAAAGAGCAAGTTTTGCCATGGTCAAAATAGGAAGTGCAATTTTTAGCTCTCTTGTTATTATTATTTTTTTCAATTTATCTGATGTATTTTCTGTTCCTAAGATTGGTTTTATCGGTTGTTACTTGCTATGCCTTGTCTGTGACCTAAAATGCCAATTGGGTAGGCTTCCTCCTCTCAAATTGCTTTTCACAAGGTTTGTCTTTGGTCCATCTCAATTGACCAGTTGGCTTTGCAGGGAAATGGGATTTTGATGGAATTATAAAAATTCTAGCTTGGAAACTATTTGCCTTATTCTTTTGTTTTTTCTAGTCTCTCTTTTAGGGGGTAGAATTTGACCATATTTTTGTTATTGCAATATTTTCTTGAGGCATTTGAAATGTCAATTTTGTTGGATTATGCTGATGGCACCCAACACAATCAGTCTCTCTTTTGTGCCTTGATAACCTGTTGTTATTCCTTGGAAATTCAGGCATACCAAACCCAACCAAAGATTAATGTAATTCCATAAAATCTTAAAGTCAATCATCTTACTTGTATTTGATCTTAATCATAATAGATGGTTAACAAAAAAGGGAA